TTAGGAGGCCTGGGTTTTCATTATGGTAAAATCAAAACAGCTCTATGCTGATTTTAACGCACACAAATAATTAGGTATGAATATTTGAGCTGCACGTTCAGCAGACTAGAGTATATGTTGCTCAACATTTTTTGGAAACATTTCATTAAAGTACTTGTCTTACAGAAATTTGTGGACTTTAGTAAAAAAAAAAAATAAAGCTAACTTTAAAAGCTCTGGTTTCTTTGTGGTCTTTGATTGTTTCAGCTCTAAGTCTTGACTTAGGGTGCCTATTTTTGTAAGTCAACTTTTATAGAAATCAGTTCCTACAGTTAGACGTCAAAAGCAAGTCAGAGTCTTGATAGTTTTTTTTTTCAAAAGAGATAGTCAGCACTTTAACATTTATTATATTAGCATGTTATTAACACATCTTTGTGAATGTTTACGTTTTACAAATTTCATACTTATTTTCTAGTTTTAAGGACTTCTAAATCAAATTTAAGTTGAAAATTTATAGTTAAAGAATATATGCTCAGCATATTTTAAATGATGTTTAACAGTAGAATTTAATTTGGGCTTGAGTACCTAATTCCTTGTTTGGACACACACAGCATTTTCATCTAATTACCAAAATAAAGTTGGAACACCTTTCTGTAAAGACTTGAGGCTTTGTCTCAATTTTTCTAGTCTAAGACATTTGTTAATTTTTGCTTACATGGGGAAAAAAATCCACCTTATCTTTGAATAAACATGCATTTTGAAGCTGTTGAGTTCATTGCTGATGCTGATGAAAGCAGCAGGATCCTTTTATTGTTGAAACATTCTCCATTAGGAATTGTCAACCTTTGTATGTTAACTTCATTTCACATTATAGTAATGAATCCTATTAATTTCATTTTCCAAATATCAAAGCTTTCTAGCCCTCTAAAATACTGTATATAGTTCTAAATAAAGTATATAGTTTCATGGGTTCTCCAAACCCACACTAATGCTTTTCATTTCCCCAATCCCTTGGTTTTGGCTGAAGGGTCCTGAAGATGTCCAAGTGAAGAACCTAATGAAGTTAGCTGACAGTAGGTTCCCTCTTGGGAAACAGATGGTTGAGTCTTGAGGACACATCTGCCCAGTTCCTGTACCCTTAGATCCTTCTCTTCCTCTTCTCTTACTGTTAGAATAGGAAAATGCCATTATTTCAGATAATGCTGTTTAGAGCTTTCAAGTGGGATATTTGCTGTGTAAAGGTCCCTCAAGTTTTAGTGTTGCAGTCAACAGGCTAGTTTTGTTATTTGTATTTTGTTATATTACCTTTGGGCACCTTTTTTCATGATCTCCCATTAAAGTGTTTTTTTAAGTCAGTGCCTGTAAACATCTGTTAAGGGGACCGAGTAAGGAGAGAGCCACTTCCTTAGCTCTAGAGCCCCAAAGGGTTGATGTGAAAGTACAAAGCCTTCTGCAAATGGATATTAATTGCCATTTAGCTTTTCAAAGGCAAATAGGGTGTAATGACCAGTAGGCTAATTTTCTTGCAAAGACCTGGGCATAATAGCAGGAATCCTCCCACCTCTGGATGGAGGTCAGATGCTCAGGGCAAGGGTTGGGCCACACAAGGACTTTGCAGCTGAGGCCAAGCTGGTGGAAGTGCCTCAGAGCAGCCGACTGGCAGGGTACAGAGGATGAGCCACCCCTCATAGTCAAGGTTGTGCTGTGTCTGTCCCAGTTAGCCTCCCTGGGAAGTCGCAAGTCAGGAAGCTGCAAGCTGCGGCCTTTGGCCACCGGTCCGTCACTCCCCTAAGCCCAGGATTCTGAAGCCTCACAGTCTCAAGAACCCAATAACTTACATGGAGTAGAGTGGGTGTGGGCAACCTCAGACCTCCTTTGACCTTGGGGGCATCACCTCTCCACTGCCTGGGTGCAGCCCCTCAGTCTGCATCCTTACAATTCGCTAGGCAAGTGCACATGCTGAACCTGTAAGAAGATCAGAAACACGCCTCACCCTGCCCCAGATTTCTCTTTAATAGAAATCTAAAATCTAGAAATTCTCTAGAGTCAGTCTGTCTCCACATTAAAGGCTGCAGAGTGGCTTTACAACGTGGTCTTGATTCTCAAGACTTCACTCAGAAAACCAAGATGCCACCAACTGTATTCCTGGTGAGTCCTCTATTACTAACCAAGAAAAAGATGAAGGAACTAACAAAGTAACAAGCACCCATTCTTGAAACATGCTTCCTCCACTCCGCATTTATTCCAACAGATGTCCTGTGGCTGTTTTTCTATAAACTATTTATGGAATTGGGGTAAGAAGACAACATACTTTTAATTTGTGAAATGACATTAAAGCTAATCACTACTGCAAAATTGTGCACTTTTAAGATTATAGTGTATTAACGGTTAATTTTTATTAGAAGTTACCTAAACAATTACTGAGGTTACAGAGATTTTTTTTTTTTTAACAGCATTTCACTCCATTTCAGATAAACATTCTAAAAACTAAAAGCAAAACCCCTCTGTCAGAAACTTCTATTACCCTTAGACTTGGAAAAAAGTAACCTGGAGATCACAGAGAACTCTCCACACTCACTGGAGAGAAGGGTGTAGCTGACACGTGCGTGCAGTTCTACTGTCTGGGAATCTCTGACATTTCCCCAGATACCCGTTCAAGCAGCGAAAGGCTTCTCACGCTTTATAAATGTATTGGTTCTCTGTCTCACTGGGCTTGAAAATGGCAATCGAAACATTTAAAAAAAAAACTAAGGTTCCATAACATACAAGATACTGTGGCATTAAATGGCAGGGAAATATCTGCTTTAATCGTGTCTGAACTGGGATTCATATTGCTACCGTATAATGCATTATTTTCCCATACACAAACATATCTAAAAACAAAATCTATACACTTTTATATAACTGTGGTCCCTTTAGAACCATTACTGTTCAGTGGAGTTAACAAAGCAAGCATATGGAAGGCATTTGTACTTAGTGAACAGGATTGAGCCTCTGATTTGCTTTAAATTCAAAGTAAGCAGCTACTAGGAGAACAGGGTTTGAACACATCTGTGTTGATTACTTGTTCTGACCTTTAGATTGTGGTTCTAAGCAAAGCCTTAAATAGGACAACTGGGTTACACTCTCACCCTTGCATATACAAAACATCCTGTGCCCTTCAAAACTGCACACTCTCATACTTCAATTTACATCCTAATGAAGATTACACGGAAGTACCTGCATTCCCTGCCATTACTCTCTGCAACTTTCATTCCGAATTTTGGTTTCCACGCCTCCACTGGAAAAGATTTTAGTCCCCAAAATATATTGCAAAATGTCACATGTGCAGAGTTAGCATTTCTGAAAGCCGGTTTTGCTATGGCCTCTGCTAAACTTGGAGAGGGCTTTGTCCACCCAGCCCCTCCTGCTCCAGTTCTCCCTCTGTTGTGGGGACACTTATCCTCCTCTTCAGTTAATGAGTTTCACCTAGTCTAGCCGTTTGTGTTTTCATAAAAGATCTGTGAAGCACCAACTGCAAAAGAAGGAAAAGGCTTTTGCTTTGCATTAATCAGAAAGTGGAATTCTATAGTAAAAAACATTTCTTTTAATGTTTCAGGAACCAAACCTTGAGCTAATGTTAGGATGTGCTCAGTAAGTCTCTGGGTGTAGAATATTAAGTCCTCCTCAAGTTTGGGGTTTTTACTCCTTATGAAAATGTTGAATGGAGAAAGATTGTTTGCTTCTGGTGACATTATTTTCAGTGAAATTCATTTAATTGAAAAGATTCTGTGTCTGGAAATAAGCTTTAAATAAGCTATTTAAAGGTATTTTCCTGGGTACCTATGGACCATAACGCTATTGTTGTTTTTGTAAGTGCTGGTCTGTTTAAAAAATTATTGCAAACGGTGTGGATTTTTAAAACATATTTTCTAAAGGTAATATAGTCAAACTGATGACAACAAAGCACTTTGAACAGCAATGCATCAGCACTAGCTTTGCCAGTGAGATTAACACTGGTTTCTAAAGTCAATCTACCAGTAATACAAAAACTCAAGCAGAGAGATTTTTCTGTATGTTTATCACACCATTTTTAGACTAATATGTCTACTGAGATTATATAAAATGCCTTTAAAATTAAATTTCATCCTCAAAAATTGTACAATGTTGATTTGATAAGACTATTTCTGCTCCACGGTCCCCTCCCTTTTCTTGCCTTGAAAGGAACTCGGTTTATTTATTTATTTTTATTTTTTAAAGAGGATTTACTTTAGAAAATACATTTTGGAGAAAGTGCAAGTTTGACTTCTATGTTCCTTCCTATGCAGCCACTTTGAATTTTCCAGGAAAATGTTCAAACTATGAAAGGGAATACGATGTTTCAGCTCAAATTTATGATTCTAAAAAACTTGAATGCAGACTAGGTTTGGGGTATCTGGTATTTTGATTATTTGAAAGTGTGTTTGCCCATATTATTTCTTTACCTTCCATCAGTTCTATAAGTTCACACTATTCAGTCAACTCTATTTTTTTTCCAATATTTCTTTTAATAATGAGTAAATGAGCTGTGTTGCCACGCTCTGCCAAAATAAAAATAAAAATAAAAGAAAGAAAAATCCCTGCAACACTTAAGAAAAAGAAATAACCTCTTGAGGTTTTTTTGGGGGGGAGTACTTGAAGTCTTTTAAGTTATATTTAAATATTCATTTGAAATACTGGAAATATAAATCGGCATATTAAAGACTAAATGCATTTATTTGTACAATAAAACACCAACAAGATTGGTGTAACCCCTATTAAGTTCTAAATATGGTGGAAAAGCATAATTATCTTACTTTTTCTGTATATCTTGATAAAATTCAGTAAATCACCTTATTCCTCTTGACATGCTTTGAAATAGATTGACAGTAATACTGGCAGTTTTACTTGCTTGTTCTAGGACTTTGTCGAGGAGTTCAAATTCAGAAACAAATACTATGACGAGAATAAATGCCATGTTTTGGAAGGAAAGGGTATGTTTATCAGCTGATTTGGAAAGACCAGATTTTATATAAAAAGTACTTTATAAGCCTTTTAAAAAAATGATGAGCTGCATCTTGGGGTGGAGTGGGGGTTGTGCTCTTCTAGGACAATATACAATTACTTGGTTGCCTAATAATGAACAAAAATATCTTAAAATCAGCATTTAAATGTAAAAACGGTAACGATCCATATAATTAGGATTTCGATTTTTATTCCATTGCGCTATTTTACCCAAATGGCAGTAATTCCTCGGCAATCATGTTGCTGTGTATATGATCCACTTTGGGCTACAATTCAATTTACTTTCAATCAAGCATTAACGAAATTGCACTTAGGGGAGGGGCTTTGCAAATTAATCTCCCAAAATAAATTCCACTTCAAGGATTCATCGTGAAAGCTGGTTGATTTATAGAGATACAAACACCAACAAAGTTTCCGACTTCTAAAACTCTGAGAGCTTTGGTTAGGAACGTGGTGAATGTGGATTCCGTCAGTTCTTCGCATAACTTAGGAACTTCTGAAAGAAGGAAAATCACCACCTCAAAGTGTGGTGTCACATTATTCGGTCCGGGGCCGTCGCCTTCTCCCACCCCCAGCAAAGAGGTTCAGAGCCTCCCGACCCTCTCCGCGACTCGCTCCTTCTCATCTCCCATGCACTAAAGGGTCAGCTTCTGTACACTTTCCCCATTCGTTCTTGCAGTCTCCTGGCAAACGCTGCGAGCCGCAGGCCGACCCCGGGGCTCATCACCACGTCCTGCCATAGAGCAGGTTGGTGCCCAGCACACCTCCGCCGTAGTCCCCGGTGGCCGCGTCCAGGGCCGCCAAGCCGCCCCCGGGACCGTGCAGCGCGGGCGGGCTGGGCGACAGTTCCTCCAGGTCCGGCGCGGGCGTCGGGGCCTGCGGCTGCTGCTGGCCGCCCTGGCCGGGCGTCGGGGTGCCCGCGCCGTTCTGGCACGGCTTGCCGTCCTTCACCAGCACCGGGACCGCCACGCGGCGAGGCGACGGCGGCGGCGGCGGCGGCGGCGGGGGCCCCAGGCCGCCCTCCTGTTGCAGCTGCTGCGCCGCCTTGTCCTTGGCCTGGCGCTTCATCTTGTAGCGGTGGTTCTGGAACCAGATCTTGACCTGCGTGGGCGTCAGGTGGATCATGCTGGCCAGGTGCTCGCGCTCGGGCGCCGACAGGTACTTCTGCTGCTTGAAGCGCCGCTCCAGCTCGTAGACCTGCGCCTGCGAGAAGAGCACGCGGCGCTTCCTTCGCGGCGCGGCCGCGTGCAGCGGCGCCAGCGACTTGGCGGCGTCCGCGATGCCGGTCAGCGAACCCATGCCGGCCACGTTCACGCCCGCCGACGGCCCCATGAACCTGGAGACTGGGGAGGGGGCCCAACAAGGACGGCCGGTGAGCCGCGGGCCGCGGGCCCCGGCCCCGCCGTCGCCCCGCGCGCCTCCCGCGGGCCCGCGGGCGCCCCGCT